GGGTACCACTTCACATTCTAATATCAATCCCCTTAGTAATTGCAACGGGGCGCGGCTGCCTTATCTAAGGGTAATTTCTCAATAACCCTGTTTCATCTGAGAGTCCACATTCGTAGAGTTGTATTTAACGAACAACTTGTTTAAATGTAGGCTTTATCAAACAGCTACTTTACCCTTCTGGCTACATGAGTTAAATGTCCCTCGTTAATCTTTATGTAGGTATACGAAACCTACGTTTTCCACTGTGGGCTCTGGAAAGGGTCGTTGAATAAAATTAATTTGATTGAATTACCGTTGCTATTGTTCGTGTGAGTACCGAGTTAGAATTTCGTGCGCACCGTTTGCAATGACTGTTACGTCAAACACGAAGGCACCACCTACGGGTGGTCGCAAGCACTACGGCTTCCATTCATGTCCTTCTCTTCAGGGCACATACTGGAGCTAGAGAGCAGTATCACCATGCTTGGTATGGAAATTAGGTGTGAGTTAAATCCAAAGAATTACATCGAAAGCGTGATAAAAACGGTCTCACGCAAACTCGGAGTACATAAATATATGCTCATCAAAAAAATAACATGTTATTCTATACGGTTATGAATGAATTTTCGAACGGATTTTACTATTGCAATTTATTTATACTATACTACTTTAAACACTATGGAAAATATATTATATTACTATTTTCAAGGACAAAAAATGAAAACAAATCTACCTAATTCGTTAAGTTGAAAACTAAACATCAATTGATAAAACGATGCATCGTGTTTTTTAAAGCTTTTAAAGTAATAATCTATAATTTAATTTAAATAATACATAAATTAAATATTATTCAGTGGTTATACTTTAATTTTTTTCCTAGGTAGGTATTGTAACGTCCGTGATGTTACAACCTCCTTGTTTAGGTAAACTCTTTGCTTTTGCAATGCCTACGGTTGGCAGTTATATTAAAAAGTTAATGTCATGATTTTAAGATTTAAAATAAGGAATCGTCTGTCTTTTGATAGAAGGTTCCATTGATTTTTAGATCTTCAGGCACCAAGAATTCCTCTCGTATTTAGATAAAATACTTTTATATTAACCTGAATGATAATACAAAATAAATAACTTAGCTCCACCAGTATCTTTCAATTAACATCTACGTCCCCAGGTTCTATCCCTTCTGACCAAGAACTCTATAGTATCTAAAGTATACATACGGAATTATTGAAAAACGTATCGTTTGACAAATTAAAATTTGAGAACAGTTAATCGTGTTCAATGTTGGATAAAAAACAGATGCAATACATATAGCGACGTATTTAATAAGCTCGGAAGGTCTTTTAAAGATTTTAATATTTTTGGACTTTCAAGCTAATGATATAGAATTAAAAATTAGAAGGTTCCTTCACTCAAAGAAAGGAGACCCGGCACTTTTCATAGAAAAAATGCTAAACTTATATGCAGTTGAATTTGGTCTCAAAATATAGCCAAAATTATTTGCTACATAAAACTACTTTTGCCTTATTTTTAGTGAATCGTGGAAAGAAGTTATATAATGATTAATATTTTTTGATATGGAAACCCTAAATCTTCAAGGGACAGAATTTTACTTCAAAATATTACTCTGACTGTAAAAACTATGATTCCTTTGCTTTTTCTAAATAAAAAACCAAATGTCAATTTGACAATCCTAAAATACAAACAAAAAATTCATTCGCAGTTCGCATCCGCTCCCGCGTACTGTGATTGTGAATGTTCTCTGCCAATCACAGCAGAGAATCTTTTTATCCTTTATTTCTGTTGACGACCCGGCTACATATAGCGGTTATATTGACAAACCTACGTATTTGACATTGACAGCTAGCTAGCTGATGATGTCAAATATTGCCAGACTACGTTACCCAATTATGAAACACAGATAAAAAAATTAAAAAAGTATACAACTTTGGCACAAAATGCCGGGTGTCCTTTAATTGTCTCATCAATGAAGTAACTGTTTGGGCACACTACTAGAACGAGACACACTCCACTAATTCAGCTTTGCTCTTTGGAACGATTTTGAGGGTCGCGTAAGCATTCCAATTAGTATATAAGTTCCTTAGCTGGCCAGCGTTGCCATTTGACATCTTTTGATGTCATTTTGACCCCCTTTGACATCCTCTTGACAACAAAGCTAAAATGACATCTTTTATAAATTATGAATTCGAGGCCTTTGCCCATCTTTGCCGAAGTAGTCGTCTGAATAGTAGTGAAGAAAATATTTATTTAAATACTGCTAGGTTTACAATGGTGTCGATTCTAGCATGATTCTCTAAACCTAAACCTTAATTTGACAGCAGTATATATTTTTTTTTTTTTTTTTTAAGCGCCACCAACATAAGTTACTGCAGTTCTTGGTACAAACAAAGCTCAAATTGCTTATAGCTTACTGCACTTACAATTAAGGTAGCCACAGCATGCGTTAAAAAACAAAACACAAAATAAGCAGGCACACAAATACATAAAAACAGCATAAAAAAAATGGAAGCACAAACTACAAGCATAAGCGGCTAAAGGGCGTCAGCCCTTTGAAGCAGTGTCATAAACTCAGAATAGCTCTGAAAATTGATATCTAGCTCTGGCAACTCTTTGGCGATATCGTTGTATAGACGAGCCAAGCGGACAACCGATGCACAGCCACCCATCCTCGTTCGACAGAATCTGCTCCTGAACAATCCACAGGGGTATCTCGATAATCTTGAAGGAACATAGTAAACGAAATTACTGACCAGTACAGGACTATCTATAATATTATTCATGAGTTTGTACAGGAAGGACATATCAAGGTGGCAACGACGTATAGAGAGCGGATTCAGTCCAAAATATCTTAATCTCTCTGTGTACGGTCTGTTTTCTGGGAGTCCTAAAGCGGTAAGCTAAGCTACGAAGTAGTTTTTTCTGTACTCTTTCAATCCGGTTTATACGAACCTTGTAATCAGGGCACCAGACCGTACTGCAGTATTCTAGCTTACTTCTCACGTAACTATTATAAAGCAGAATGACAGATGAAGGTTTTTTGAAGTTCTTTGTATTTCGAAGAATAAATCCTAATGATTTATTTGCCTCCTTTACTATTTTATCAATGTGATCCGAAAAACTCAGTTTTGAATCAATTATGACACCGAGGTCTCTGATGGTAGTAACTTCTTTGATTCTCTCACCCGCTATTGTATATGTAGTTATATGTTTATTATGTTTCCTGGTAAACTTTATATGGTGGCACTTTGAAATATTGAAGAGCATTTTATTGTTATTGCACCATTCTTGGAGGCTGTCAATGTCTTCCTGTAAGTATACTGAGTCGTCCGTACATGAAATTCCCTTTGTCAACTTCAGATCATCAGTGAATAGGTATACCTTACTATGTTTAATACCCGTTGTAATATCATTGATAAAAACGTTGAAAAACATTGGACCCAGAACAGAGCCTTGTGGAACACCTGAAGTTGCAAAAAAAAGCATTTGCATTCGTCACTGGTGGTGGTAAATAAACGGCACAGATGTTGAGCGTTATTGGTTTTCGCCTTGATTTGGAGGTAATTGAAACCCAAAGATCCTCGCAGTCATTTTCATGCTCGATGACCCGTGTTGAGATTAGCCGATCGGACACTGCTATCAGTACACCACCTCCTCTCGTTTTGACAGAAGCAGTTATGTCTCGGTCTCGTCTATACACATTATATCCACTCACAAAAAATTCACAGTCGAAACACCCTTCATTGAGCCAAGTCTCTATTAGAATATAAACATCGTAATCATTGTTGCTTATTTGCTGTCGCACTTCAGTCGCACTTGAATTTAGCCCTCTTACATTTTGATAATATATCTTCAGATCACTATACATAAATCTCAAAAATTTTGGTCTAAAAGATAACGAAATAATGAATTCGGAGTTAAATTACAAGGATACAAAGCTAAATAATTTCGTAAATCACCTATACAGGATTATTACAATTCAAATGAGAATAAGAAAAAAATAAATATAAAAATATATATATATATAATAAAAAGCACCAACCACTAAACAAGATTAGCCAGATCCTGGGTATTCCTAATCAATTTATATTCGGAGGTGTCCGTCTTTCTCTTGAATATTTTACCATTACATATTTATTCATTATATTATATTATCATTCTCTATAAAGAATGAAAAGGAGAGACTGATGTTAAATTTAGTTTTAAGTTTAGAGAATCACGCCAGATTTGGCACCATTTAGTCTTTTATTTAATTAGTCTTGAACGCAATTTTTTTTCTTAGGTTGGTATTGGACAAAGTTGTACGAAAAAAATTAATTGAACCTTAAGTTGATAGTGATGTCGATTCTGGCATGATTCTCTAAAGCTAAACTTAAATTTGACAACAGTGCATCTCTGTCATTTTCTATCAAAATGAAAAGGAGAGACTGATGTTAAATTTAGTTTTAAGTTTAGAGAATAACGCCAGAATCGATACCAGTGGTAAGGTTATTTATGTGAACATTTTTTTCAGATTCTTTCTAAGGAATTTAGTTTGGCGCGATTTTACTCTACTTTTACCACATGACTAGAGAAACGCACAGTCCGTTCCTGTACCTACTTGTAAGCGCTTATGCAGGCTTTTCAGATATAAAAAAATATTATAAATGGGCTAGGTTATACAAATTTTTTGTTAATTTTATGGTACAATGGTGTCGATTCTGGCGTGATTCTCTAAACTTAAAACTAATTTTAACATCAGTCTCTCCTTTTCATTCTGTATAAAGAATGACAAGGATACACTGTTGTCAAATTTAAGTTTAGGTTTAGAGAATCATGCTAGAATCGACACCAATACTGTACAAATTAAGTGTAGGTATTTAATTATTTTTTTGTTAAGGAAATATTAACTCAATTATGTCATAGTAAAGGCTGAACTATTGAATAACAATTGAACGATATATTATGAAATAGTTACGATTTGTATATTTGTTGATTTTTTTTGTAATGACAACATTTGGTTCCAGATGACAACATTTCAAGCCAACATTGACAACTTTTCCCGTGCAGGCTCTGGTAACACTGGTGCTGGCGCGGTGTTGCGTGGAGATTTTTATTTTGCCGAAGTTTCTTAGATAATATATATTACCAATAATAAACGGTACCTACGATGGCTAGACGCTACCGGGATGCGGCTGCCAAATTGCAACAAAATGTGCAAAAACATTTGAAAGAAATGAAGGAGCTATCTTCTTCTGAAGATGAGGAGCCATACGAGTCTAGTGTGTTGGACGGGGTACTTCATTCCTACAGATGCAGTGGCGGTGACGTCCATATGCTGGATCGAACTAGGCATCTATTGGAAGAGGCTATTTGCGGTAGATCTGTTACATGCCTCATTTGCTTAAGTTCAATAAAGCGAACCGATGCTATTTGGACCTGTGATCATTGTTATTGTTATTTTCACTTGTCTTGTATACAAAAGTGGGCCAATGATAGCGTCAGTCTCAGAAACGAAGAAACTCATGGTTCCATTGCCTTGGTTGTGCCTAGAAAGATTGAATGGTGCTGTCCAAAATGCCGTCAATCATATGGCAAAGATGCTATACCTCGACGGTACAGGTGTTTTTGTGGGAACACTGATGATCCTAAAAATCACCCATGGCTTACACCACACACGTGTGGGGAGGTATGTGGTAAGCGATTATCTACTGGAGAGAGCTGTAAGCACAAGTGTCTTTTGCTCTGCCATCCTGGACCATGCCCTCCATGCCCTCAATCTGTAAATGGGACATGTCACTGTGGCAAAGAATGCAAGAAAGTAAGATGCAGTGCTGCAAAGTGGTCCTGTGGACAACCTTGTAGAAAAAAGTTATTGTGCAACTCACACAAATGTGAAAATGTTTGCCATGAAGGAGATTGTGCTCCTTGCAGTTATGTTAGCATCCAATCTTGCTGTTGTGGTTCAGAAAAGACTAAGAGGCCATGTAATGATCCCTCATGGCATTGTGAAAAAGTTTGCAACAAACTTTATACTTGTGGCTACCATAAATGCTTGAAAGTATGTCATTCAGATGATTGTGGATTGTGTCCAAACTCTGGCATGAGATCCTGCCCATGTGGAGCAAATAGAAAGTATGTAGAGTGCCCTGATAGCATAGAAACATGCCTAGGAACTTGTGGTAAAAAATATGAGTTCTGTGAACATACATGTCCAGAGAAATGCCATAAGGGCCATTGTCCCCCTTGCCAAGTTTTGATAGAAAAACAGTGTCAATGTTTGGCACATACTAGAATGCTACCATGCAGCAAAGAATACAAGTGTGAAACAAAATGTAGGGGAATTAGACCTTGCGGTAAGCATGGATGTAGTAGAAAATGTTGCAATGGAGACTGTCCACCTTGTGAGAAAATATGTGACAAACCTTTGCAATGCGGCAGACACAAATGCACAATGGTGTGTCACCGTGGACCTTGCTATCCTTGCCCAAGAGAGTCTAAAGTGACTTGTAGATGCAAGGAAAGTTATGTAACAGTTCCTTGTGGGAGAGAGAAACATATCAAACCTCCAAGATGTAGCCTGCCTTGTAAAATGAAATACAAATGTGGCCATATTGAAGAGAATAAACACCCTTGCCATTTTGGGGACTGTCCCCCTTGCAAAGCAATCTGTAGTAAAACTTACATGAAATGCAACCACCAATGTAATGCTGTTTGCCATGAGTATGTGGCAGTAGTTTTTAAACAAGTTGAAAAACCTGCAACTCCTTGGGAAATCACTCCACCAAAAACAAAAATAATGACTTTAGACTGCCCGCCATGTGAAACGCCTGTATCTGTTATTTGTTTTGGCGAACATGAGACAGAAATGCAACCCTGTCATTCTGCTAAAAGAAGCTGTTGTGGAAGAAAATGTGCCCGACCTTTGGAGTGCGGCAATCATTCCTGCTCCTTACTATGTCACTTGTATGCTTTGAATTCTGAATATCCAAATGTGCCTTATAAATGTAAACAGTGTGAAAGAGAATGTACAGCGATCCGCCCTGAGAAATGTCTTCATAAGTGTGCTATACGGTCCTGTCATCCAGGGTCATGTCCACCCTGTGACATATTAGAGCGTATTCCATGCCATTGTGGTGTGACCGAGCTATATTTGAGATGCCGTGAAGTTGCAAATGCTACAGAAGAAATTTTGTCTTGCAAACAACAATGTCCAAAGAACTTGGAATGTGGTCATCGTTGCCGAAACCAATGTCATTCAGGAAGCTGTCAGCTCAAGCAAGTCTGCAGTAAAAAGACTAAAATTTATTGTAAATGTGGTAATTTGCGCAAAGAGGCTCCTTGCAACCTCGTGAGAAATGGAGAAGTAAATATAATTTGTGATGAGTCTTGTGAAGCAAAGAAGTTGGCTGCTAAGCTAGAGAAAGAGCAAGAAGAACAGAGATTGAGAGAATTGGAAGAGGAGAAGAACCGTAAAGAGTTGTCAGAGTATGAATGGAAGTTAAGCGGCAAGAAGAAGAAGTATAAAGAAAAGAAAGTTGTTCAACACATAGATAATAGGAATGTTTTCCAAAAATACTGGATCCTTATCTTATCAATACTTGTCACATTGGTTGGCATTGTATACATGATAATGCAAGCTTCATATTGAAATGGACATTTACAATACTATTTTTTTTATTATGACAATATCTGTAAGGCCTATTTTCACCAGTTTATTCAGTCCTTTAATGGAAAACTCTTCAATCTGTAGAAGAGTGAACCGACGGATCGTAATGACTTGTGTGCTGATTCAAGGGCTTTTTTAAATTATTTTAACCAACAATATTGAAATTGATTTTATCACATAGGTATATACGAAACATTGTATAATTTTTGGGCAAGTGTAAATGCCAATTGTATCTTTTATTACTATAAATTGTTATTGTTTTTATTTCTAAGATTTGTTAAAGCTCATATAATGGATAATGTTCCAAAGAATATTGTTAGATTTAAAGGTGTGTGTAAGATACATAACCTTTTTGTATGTTTTTGTAAGACATAGCTTGAAAGTATATTTAGAACATATATACTTCTGGACACATCTATTGATCCAATAAGAGTTATAAGTTTCAATGGTCTGTAGATAAGATATATGTTTAAGGTTGAGCAATAATTTAAGAAACATGAAAAGATGGTTAATACATCAGATCAATACTGCTTAGGTAATAACTTCTTGCTCAATGTACAATTTAGCTTTAGCTAGGGACCGTCAAAACATAAAATGCTAGGTGGGCCGATAGATGTGTTCGGAAGTGTACTTGTTCTGTTCTGTGGTTAGTAGAACCAAGTTATTAAAATGTAATAATCCGTCCAATGATGTAAGAAAAAAATACTTTTGTAAATTAGGTGGAACCCAGTGAAATAGTTTGATGCTATTTTCTAAGGTTTAATGCTCATATTCCAATATTATTGTCTGTAGACAACTGGAGCAAATCATGAGTGGGGCTCCCGTTTTAAAATACGCTCCTGGACAGGACCATAGATTTTTTTCTTAAGATATTTTTGCTTTCAAAAGGGTATATGCTTTCATTATGTTATGTCTGGGTGTTTTAATTATGTTATTTTAGTCAGTTTGCATTTCTATACCAATAAATAAATAATCGATATAGGTAGATTGAAATAATTGTACTGTACTGATTATTATTTCTATTAGATTAAACGGGAAATGTTTTAATATGACTTTTATAAATTAAATAGGTTGTTAATGCAAAAACTGTTTTTTGTTTATTGGTACCTAAACCTTTCTAAAACAATAGTAATAAGTTAACGTAAATGTCCATGAGGTAAGTAGGTAAGTACAAAGCGAAATTCTTTAATGCATGAAACAAGAATATTTTTATTAGGAATGGAATCAATTAACATTCACACACTCGATTTACTATAAAGTCAGGTATTTATGTACCTACTTATTGGGTCGAAAAAGGGTAGAAACGTTTTTTAGAAAGGGGAGGTCCAATCTAGCTCGTTACAAAACCCCTCTGCAAATCTCGCGGTACAATTATTAGCTTATGAGCCTCAAGTACGAGGGTAGTGGGCAGGCCTCTACGTGAACATACCGTGGTTATGCAGGCAAAACCAATTTTGACGACTTTATCAAAAAATCTTTTTATTGCATGCATCGACTAAGTTTTTTCTGCTCTGTCGGCAGGTAAAACCCTTTTCTTCATCAAACGCTCCGTTTCGAAGTTACCGCATGTAAAAACCAATTTTAAGACTAGTTAGCCGTGCAAGGCTACAATAAAAATAATTTATGTTGACATAATAAAATTTTTACCGGTTCGGATCCCATGCAAAACAAAATAACACAGTAAAAATGGTTTTCCTTTACAGGGTTTACTGTAATCTTTGTGTGATTTCATCTACAAAATCAAATTACATGAAGATAACATACCCAAGAACTATTATGATTTCAGGCAAAACATAGTATTATCATGTTCTTGCTTTTCCGCGAAGTAATTCATTAGTGTATATATCAATTTGATCCTAGCAAAAAGTTTTTTTGCGTCTAGTCTAAATGTGTTTTGTTTGAACGAATTTAAAACGCGCGCGAATGAAATACCTTCAGCGAAAACCAATTATTCACATATCGTGGTACGGATGGCTGGATTTCTAGAAATCCTAAAATCCACGATTTGTATCAAGTATCGTTGATAAATATCGAGCGTCTAGTCTCTAATCGATATTTATTGCGTCAGTATTAGACATGGGCGTTTTTGGTTTTGAACGCAAACGGATATTTATCGGATTTCAGATTTCAAAATCGATTTTAAAATCCGTTTTTAGATATCCGATTTCAGATGTGCCAAACTTAGCCAATTCACTAGTTTGTGTTATGATTTGGTTTTATTAGCTAACGACAATCACAAACAATTAATTGTAGGAAGCAAGAATACTCGTAGATTTTCGCTTAGGACTAGCAGAAAAGTTATGTTTACGGTTAAGAGTAAAACTTTTGCGGCGCATTTAAAAATCGACTTATATACAATGATTTCTTTTTACATATTTTTTTAGTATTTTTTTTTGTTTTTCTGTTTGTTTTTATTATTTTTCAAACCATTTACAAAATCAAACCTAATTACTTCAGGTTAGCGTCCAAAAATGTAAGTTGCTCGACTTTTGATGTTTTTAGACGACATATCTTTTCAGTGATAAATAATCCCGCCTCAGAGAAGAGCAATAGATTTCCGTAAACAGCAAATCGAAATCGGACTTCCGAGCACGAAATCTGACTTCCGAAAACGAAAGCACGAATTTCGAATCCGATTTACATTTGGATACTTATGGTATTAGATCGCTAGCGTTTTGGTTCGGTTAGATTTCTGAAATCGGATTTTCTTGTTGAGAAATCGTTCGGTATCGATTTGTGTTTGAAATCGGATTTTGGATTCGTTTTGATATATCGGACGCATGCCTAGTCAGTATTAATATTGTCAGCGATGGAAGAGGACGCGCATATTGAGGCGGCGGCGGCGCCCGCCGTACCTCATACAAACAACCAAAAGCACTTGAAACAATTCATACTAGTGTTAAAACACTACCAGAGGTATGGGACAGCTCAAGTGCCGACACTGTAAATAAAGTGAAAAGGGCGAATGTCTATGAGCAACTGTTTGAATTTAAAAAAGAATTAATCCTGGCGCGACTACCAAAGATGTCATTGCGAAGATAAACTCATTAAAATCGAATTAAACAGGAAAGAATTAAAAAACTAACCGATTCGAAGCGATCTGGTGCTTCTACGGAAAATGTGTACAATTAAGGTTGCCAACTCTACTATATAATATAGTATCCTACTATATTAGGGGATCAAATACTATGTTCCTTTCACGCACAATGGTCCAATAATTAGGACTAAGTGCGGAAACCGCCCTGAAGAACTAACTAACTAAAAGTAGGCGAAACTATATTTTGCTTAAAGCAGGTTTTTGCCAATAAAAGCTTTCTTAAAAATAAAAACTGTATTATTAAGGTATAGAGCAGCAAAATATATTTTAATTTTAAAAATAAAGTAAATATTTTAATCATATACTATATGTTTTTCCATTTTTTTGCCTTCTACTATATTTTAGAGGTAACGGCTTCGAAAATACTATATTTGATAGAAAAAAAGATGTTAACCCTATGTACAATCCAAAGTCTTGGGTATTTTATATTATCAGTCATAGCTTTATTTATATTGTAATACGAAATTTACGAGTGTACTCAATGAAATTTACTGTCGTACTGACGTGATTCGTATCGTGTGTGTAGTATAAGAAAATATTACTAGATAAATATCACGTTAAATATCGAGATACATATCGAGCGTGTAGCAGTCGCCTATATAGACCAGTATACGCTGAGCTCTTGTCTGTACCCTGCGTAGTACGAATAAGAGCCCAGTTTATACTGGTACTGTCTAATTTGACGTGAGATTCATAAGGTATAGTATACAGAATGTAACAAAATGTCGAAATAACATTTAAGGGCCTGATTCTGCTGTTTAAGTATGTTTTGGTATGGTAGAATTTGGGTGCTTAAGAATCAGGTTACCTGGCACAGATTTGTATGTGCTAGGTAAACTTGTTTCTTTATGTAAGCACCCTTTGAAGTTTCTACCTACTTTTTTATTTTTGAAGTTATACTTCTTTAGGCGCGTTATGAAAAAATGATGAGAGTGAAATTTTAAGATGCGCGCGCATCACTGTAACACAAAATTTTAACAGCATGAAGTTGGTCGCTTTAGCGACTAACTTCATGCGTTACTTTTGTGTTTACCGCACATTAAGAAAATCTACCAACAAAAGAGAAATAGAATCTCTATTTAGTGGGTGCTAACGACTGCATTGTGAAGGCCTATCAAAAGTATTATTAATCTGGAACAACGGAACCAAAGCGCGATTCAGGAGACTACAGCGCCATCTCTTGACCATTGGTGTAGTAGAATCAAAAACCACATCTTTATTTTTTGTAATAAAGTAACAGTTATAGGTATTCATATTTATAATATCAAAAGTATTTATTAATCTGGAACAACGGAACCAAAGCGCGATTCAGGAGACTACAGCGCCATCTCTTGACCATTGGTGTAGTAGAACCAAAAACCACATCTTTATTTTTTGTATTATAGTAACAGATAAAGGTATTCATATTTATAATATTTATCCACATGTTTCTAGTTTGTATATTCGGAATACGTGTTTGAGTTTCATACAAGTGCAAATCACATATGTTCTAATAAATTATATTCAGTAGCGATTTTAATTGAATATTTTGATTATTTATTAATTTTTTCAAATTAAAACTGAACTTTATTGACTGTGTCCTTTTCCAGACTTTTTATTAATTTATTGTAATTAATTATTTGCATGCAATTAAAAACTAATTTTAAACGATGCCAAAGAAGGATAACTTCTCACGCGCCTACATAAGTACACGCACCCATTTTTTATTTATTTTTTTATAGATAGGTCCGACAAATGACTCCACCCCACCTGATGTTAAGTGAAGGTGAAGTCCAGACGTGAAGATAGCTGATACAGCAGTTTTACCTGCCACACCAGCCATCCTCACCCTGCCGGCCTGCATGTTGCTTCTTCACGCCTCTTTTAAAGGATCCCAGGTTGAAAGAGAGAGGGAACACGTGAGCGGGCAGAGCATTCCATTTACGATAGTGTGACAAAGAAATGAGTCACCAAATTTCTTTGTACGCGTTGGAATTGTGGCCACAGTTAGACGGTGACAACGTAGCTGCGTAGGCCAGCGCGCGTGGTCCTCTGAAGGAAAGGAGAAGGTGGGATAAGAGAGAATAACTCCTCAGAACACTCGCCGTGGTACAAACGATAGAACGCGCTTAGTGACGCCACGTCACGGCGTAATTGAAGAGGCTCAATTTTGTCTATAATTTCGACATTTTGTATGATTCATTAAGGATTTATGTAAATTGGCGGAAATATTTTTAACGATTGTTTAGGATGTCAGATTAAATATGCCTTCCAGTAAACAATATCTATCTGTGCCCATCAGTGACGCAAAGAAAAAAGATTTAATTAATTTATGTGCAAAAAACGTTATTCCCGAAGAATACCAGGAATGGTTCAAATCACTTCCAAGTGAAAAAGATAAAAAGGATCAGGTAATACCTGATGCAACGCTTTCCGATGAAGAGTATGATCCAAATGATGATTAAGATTTTAAACTTAATCATCACATACCCTTTATTTTAATATAAATTTTCTTTTTGTTCACGTTTCGTAATTTTGTCTCCTTTTCATTTGAATAAATAATTTCAATGTATTTTTATTTTTATTCAGTAAATAATAATTTAGTACATTTTTTTAAGTTTTGACGACTTACCATATTTCTCTTCCTAACTAGTTCAGGAAAAACCAAGTTTAAATTAGGAATTATCGTAGATGTGCTCACAATTTTGTGTACATTTGTTTTTTTATAAAGTATGTAGATATTACATTTAAAATACTACCACGTCATTTATGATATTTATACGTAATGTGAATGATTCTCTAGATAATCACGATTTTTATTCTCCAGGGAAAACCAATTACGAATGGTCCATTTTTTGTTTGAACAAATAATTTGCAGACTTCCCTTTTCTTTTTCATATTAAAGTTGTACTTTAACCCAAAATGATGAATTCAGGCCCACCATGACCATACTTCTGGTTGCATTAAAAAGATCTTTAAAACTTTAAAAGGGCTTTGAACTTTATGTAGCGGATTTCTCGATTTGGTTAAATGTCGCATAATTGGTTTTGCCTGCATAACCACGATACGTCGTGGGGCGTAATTAAAATGATGGTTACAGCGCTGCCGGGAACCGACTATGACATTTGAACAATCTCCTTTTGTGGTGTTGCCTCGGCCGGACTGAACCGTTCGTTCTGCAATATCGACAACGCCGCTGTACGGGCCCCGAGGGCCCCCGACTGCATTACTTTTCTATATATAACAATGTACTTTATGGCATTACTCTACGAAGAAAGAGGAGATAGTAGAATATCTGAGAATTAAGATCAAGTTCTTCTTGGGAGTCGCGCGGTTGGAGTCCCGTCACAATATGAATTTTAATTCTTTGGCGAGGATGTCGACTAGGGTTTCTGCTCGAGAATTCTCGAAATTGAGATGGATCAAGGAATCCGTCTTGGATGAACACGAGAATTTTTATTTTATTTTTTAGGCACTAATTCAAAGTACCTATTCGAGGTAGGGTTTTCCGCGTAAAATGTCCGCGCTCACTGCGATTAGGATTACCATCCGTTTCCGGACTTTTTCCGACTTTTTAATTTGTCGGGATTTATTTAATTAGATAGAATATCAGTAAAACTACGTTATTTAAGTTAAGTTAAGTTATATCAAATAAGTCAAATAATCTTTATTAAGTTCTCATTAATTTAAAAATATAAATTATCTTGAAAAATCAACAACGCGTAATATCTTTCTGTTTCCCGCTAAGTTTTGAATCTCCGACACCACCTAGATTGCCTGGAAGAGATCTCTTTTAGAGATAAGCCCACCTTTGCTTACTATGTATTTGACTATATGTTTTAAACTATATGATGCAATAAAGAGTATGATAAATATCACTGTAACTAAGTGGGTGATGTTTGCATTTTGTGACTAAAATGTCCGGACTTATATCGAAATGTCCGGCTTTTTGTCAGGACTTTAAAAAAATTTAAATAGTAACCCTAACTGCGAGTAAGTTGTTTCATTCACACATACCTTAGAATTACTACAAATTAGTAGAGCCACGAGTATGTAGTTACTAAGTAATTACAAATTGCCTATTACAAATCGGTAGAGCCTAAACATTTTCTGCAGATAGTTTTACTTGATATTTCTAATAGATTATGTCTACATGTAGCATAATTTTAAATATTAACTTACCGCCTTAATAAAAAATGTAGATTAAAGTTAAACCTGGACTAAAACTGGTGCTGTAACTTTTGTATGCTAAAAAGAAGACAGAGACAACATTAGGTTTAAACCAAGACTAACTTTAGTCCGTGTTTTGGAACGGGTTGTTGTGGTACCACCCTTGATAACTGTTTCCTTCTACTGAGAGGACTACTGAGTCCGGTAGACAAAACTACTGAAACTTTTCAGTTGACATAGTTCGGTTGTACAGGTTACTCGGACTGTTGAACCTCACCTTGTGTCAGTAGATCGGTGTTGGTGAGAAGCTGAAGTTTGTGATTGTACTTTATTCCGGTAGAACGAAATGATGAAACTTTTTAGTTAACCTCGAATAAAAAATAAATTCCATGATGCATTTAAGTAATTGGAATTTATCTTCTCATTGTTTTTTTAAATCTTAAATGTTCTCATTTTAGTGTTACGTGTAAAAGAACATTATTCGAGACCATACATGGCTAAGAGGTTTTGGTTATGAAAATGGAAAAAAATGTTTTGTTTAATATCGCTGGTAATGAAAAAGCTTTTTCTTTTTTTCGATTTCAACATCTAGCAGTTACTTAAAAAAATAAAAATATAACTATAATTGCTATTTCTTTTTAAAATGTTTAATACTTGTAAAGATATTCATTTGACATTGTGGGTTACCTACAATGCGAAGAGATGACGCTGCCTTGCAGTTTAAGAAGAGCTAGGTAAAAATTCGACACGGCCATCAGTGCCGCGGTAGCATAATGGTCAGAGCATTCGCCCGGATAGCAAAGGGTGCGGGCTTGAGTCCCGTCTGCTGGTCCGAGTGGATTTTTTTCTAGTATAATTTTCTTTCGATTTAAACATCGAGCTAACTGCTCGATCATGTTAAAAAAACTAAAAATATAACAGTAACATTACTTTTTTTTCTTGTCAACACCGATCTGACACAAGACTAGGTCAAAGGTGAGGTTCAATAGTGGAAGACGCTGACGTGTACAACCGAACTATCGCAAGTGATAAATATGTTGAAATGTATTCTTATTAACAGGTAGAATTTCGAAAAATATATTATTGAACGCACCTCTTCACAGAATAGATCCTGACTAAATGACACAAGTTCTGTTTTATTATCAAAATGAAACTTACTCGGATAGGTAGGTATTTGAAAACCTAAAATGCTCACTACTCTGATTTTGACCCACAATATGGTATTTTCTGAGTAAGAAAAATAAATATTCACATAAATTAATATTAAACATTTATTTCTAAATCGACAATACATTGATTAATTTTATGAGAAGTAAAATTATTCGTAACATAAATTAATATATTCATAATTAATCACTTGTTTTTTTTAAATATCACAAGGAGTGAGTAGGTGTAGTAAATGGTGGCTGCGTTGATATAAACATTCTCAGCAATCTCAAAATGTGAAGATTCCGATTTTGAACTTTATGCCAATTGCGTTAAGGATAAAAAATATTTATCAAAAAGGCAAACTTGATATTTTTGGATTACTAGACTGTAAGTAAAGCTCTTGTTCGTACTTATTATGAAAGTATTATAAGAAAAGAATTTTCTTGCCACTACCTTACTGATGATCACGGTGTCCGAATAAAATTCAAGTACAGTTCATTCCTTTTTCGACTATGGTGGCTACTATTTAAAATTTACCAAGTTAAAGGTCAGTATTCACATACAGTATTACTCGTTAGTTTTATTCTAAAGCGAGTAAAAAAAGTGATAACTTTAACTAATTAAAGCAGGGCTGCGGGTAAGAGTAGGAACTTGCCTACCGTTAAAGACTGGCGCCGTAACGCGTTACGTAACGAAGCGGTTTACCTTCCCATAAGAAGTTATTACTTCAATTATCAACGTGTGGACCGCGCAACTCGCAATTCGAAGGCTCGTTCGGAGGACGCATTGATTTTTACTCGCTTTAGAGATATAACATTTTAATTTAACGCGTACTTTAAAAAGGTTTTTCATACCTTCTTTATTTCCACGTTTCAAAGTGTAACGAGTATAATAATAGGTAGGTATAGCGTGTGAGTATGAACCATTACATTTTTTCATTATATAGGCACCAATTTATATTCAAAACTTAACTCCGTTAAGTATATTTCTATACTTGTTATACATCCTTAAAGCTAAGGAGATCTGTATTAAATTCAAATTCAGAAATTTCTATGGAGGGTTTCGTATTGCAGACCGAAATGCTCGATGAAATTGAAAACATTCCATCAAATACATAGTACTTTCAAAAGACAAAGGTAAGTTAGTAAAGAATAAGCATTTTAGTAGTTATATAAAACGAAATTGTAAAAATTACAATGACTAAGTTTCCGAGAAGCAGTCAAATTATAGGATAAATCATGTTGCATACGCATGATGGTAGAAGTTTGTAAACGAGACGACAGACGAGACATGTATGACATGTATTTACATGCAAACAGGCATGATGACGGGGTAGATTAAACGAAATTCTATTTAGTCCGTCAGTAAGATTATCAAAAAATAATGGACACATATTTTTACTTTTGTCAATCAACCCAAAAACGACAAAGAAAGCGCGTCAAAGTTTACGAGTCGTGACGTCACTTCTAAGTAAAAATTGTAACAAGATGCGACATTTTAAATTAATTTATTTTCATAATGTTTTGATTATGTGAATAAAGAAAAAAGATTCGCTACCATCCACCCGGGTCATCTCAACACGTTAGCGGGACAGTTGGGAAAAAATGTTCCATTGACCCCGGTAGCCCCCATTTAACAGGGTGGATGGCACAGATCAAGTACTAAATTCCTCGCTACGCGTCCTCCCACATCTCTGGGGGAAACATAGCCTGATTCCACAAGAGAGGTATGGTAGAAAGTTGAAATAGTACGCGTAGCGAGGAATGTGTTTGTAAAAAACAATACAACTCCTAATGGAGCAGTTAGCATAAGCCAAAGCTACGTAAGTCTGCTATTCGCCCCGTTTTAAAAACACACCGGGGTCGATGATACTTGATCTGTGCCATTCACCCCGTTAACGACGGAGTCGGGGCTACCGGGGTCGATGGAACATTTTTCCCAATTGTCCCGTTAACCGGGCGGGACGACCTGGGTAGATGACACCGACCCAGAAAAAATAAGTGTTCAATACTTTTTAATAAACTGACAGACAAAGAAAAAAATAGCCATCATCCCTATTATTATAGCGAATCTTTACATTTAGTTACAACATAATAATTATGGCACATAAGCCATGATTATAGGTACAGATATATATATATAAATCTAAATTGTAACGACAAAAACTTAATAAATGTAATCAATTTTCCGCATTAACGTTACGGGTCAGATAAGTCGACATGCTTGTCGGAAAACATAAAAAAATGGTAACATTCAAACATTACACGTGGTCGATGGCACACTAAGATGACTCATAACCACTACTTACTAGCGGCCTATTCAAATATCCTACCCACAGTCAGACGGGCTGAGGAATAATTAATTCTTCTTCAGGTATAACACACCGGCAAAGTTCTTAAGCATCGACCATAGACAAGGCAGCCTGCTCAGTAGTCATTTTTTAAACAAAAACTTTTACACCGTTGACGTTTATTTGTTTATGGTATTTATACAATTAAAATTATGTATATTATTTTGTGAAGAACGAAGGTGCTTTGATAGTTTTAATATCAATTAAGTTTCACAATAGCACTCTAGTTTCCGCTAGAGGCGCTGCTGTGCAATTAGTTAAAAATATCCAATACACCTCCATAACATCGATACACTCCATTATAGATCCTAGTGTATTTTTCCTTCAGATCCATATGCCAGATTTTCAGGTAATCTTATCTCTTACTATGGGTAGGCTATTTAAAGGCATTATACAAACGGAAGGCTTTCAAGGTATTAGTTAAATAATTTTAGTAAAATTGCAATGAAGATAGGTATTATTTCATGTACTAATTGACTGTCTTTCTTAAGAAAGACCAGTAGAGAGAGCATGAAATAATTGACCATCTTTAATTTTCATTCAATCTAATAGAAAACTAATTTAATATAACACAAACTATTATATTGACTCAGCGCACTCTCGTGTTGATTTCAGGCTTCTTGTTTTTACTAGAGAGCTTGAACCAACCGGCCTTTTTGTTATTGTCTTTAGGCATTGATATAGAGCGGGACAGCCTGTCCCTTTCACTCTGTCTGCTGAGGATTTCGCTGGACTGACTCTTTTTCGCGTCCCGTTCGCGTGTTCTTCTCGATATAGTGCTGTTGTCGATATCTTTCTTGTCCTTCTTGTAAAGAGTGTTGCTGGAGCTTGTCAGTCTACTGTTTTGAGGGCGTTTCGTGAGAGTGGTTTGGCTGTAGGACTTGTGCTTTTGCAGTGGTTCTGAGCGTTCAACTGTGCTTCTAGATGATGGTTTCTGGATCTCCCTGGGCTTTGATTTCCTTGGTTTTTGCGCGTAATGGACGTCGTGCTGCTCCCCGTAGTGTTTCGGTGTCCACGGGGCGAATATCGAGAAAGTCTTGGTTGTGCTCCTGATTTGAAGGTTGGATGAATTGACGGAGGACACGTCGTCTCGAGATCGGTTGCGTGTCATCCGGCCAGGGTCAGGAATGTCGCCGACTGGAAAGAGAATAATACATTAAGGTTAGGTATACCTACAGGTCGCGGCACGTAACTCTAGCTGAACAAAACGCGGAGGGGATAGCTGCGCATGGGTACGACTGGAGAGCCAATCGGCGCAACGCACGCCCACCCGTGCACCTCGTTTCCCCCCAAGGCATCTTAATTTTTACTTCTGCGCAATAACGATCACCGCTAGAGTTTCGTGCCTCGACTTATACATCCCGGCAAACTTCTTGAGCAACGACCATGGACAAGGATGCCAATTTTACATATTAAAACGTCTACTACGCAAGTTTATTTGTCTGTGTTTTTGCCAAAGGAGTTTACCGTTACTCTACATCTACCTACATCACTTCACGCCTTATAACTTTTTCTGAGTTGACAAAGTGTGCAAGATATCGTGTCTTAATATAAAAACAGTAACTATACCCCTGCCCTAGCACGAACCCATGTCAAATTCATATCTTTTGTGAGTCTGAAATGTCATTGCCAAATGTGTACTGATTTTTATTTCTCGTGACGTACTTTGTGGCGTTGCTGTTCAAGTTTCCATACAAAATTTGACATTGACATTTCGCACTCGCAAACTATTCGCATGGGTACAGTACCCCTAGCACGAAGTTCGTGTACTGTACCCATTCGAATATCTAATCTAAAACTCAGTACACATATGTCAATAACGTTTCGGATTCGCAAACTATTTGAATTTGATAATGGTTCGTGCTAAGGGTACAGTACCCCTAGCACGAACCATTATCGAATTTAAATAGTTTGCGAGTGCTAAATGTCAATGTCAAATTTTGTATGGAACCTTGAACAGCAGCGCCACAAAGTACGTAACGGGAACTGAAAATCAGAACACATTGACAATGACATTTCGGACTCGCAAACTATTCGAATTCGATAGTGGTTCGTGCTAAGGGTACTGATCCTGTGTCTGGCTCGCATGTGCAATTGTCAAGTCTCTTAATCATCGCGGTCATGGGATTGGTGACTAAAAATTTTAAGACACGTAAGTCGTAGGTTACAACTTAACTATCGCAACATGGCCCATTCTTCCTATTGGGAAGATCTGTGTCTTAGCAGTAAGGACATTAATTATTAACCTAATAATATCCCCTCGTAAGATGAAATGATGGAGATTTGACATCTTTTCGATCTCATAACGCAAAGTAGGAGGTTTTTAATAATTATAAATGATATAGGTCAGTAACGAATGTTCTTATATATTTTATGCCGTCCCTCATAGCTCTTGCAGACGCCCCTCGCAGCCTGCTGCCCCGGGACATGGCTGTCTTGATGCTAGGGTAAATACGCCTCACAGTATAAAGATAAGAGAAGTCATACAATGATCTCTTACCGGTGGTAGCATGCAAGTAGACGACGCTGCGCTGCGACTGATGACTCGAGTCACCCTCGGTACTGCTCTCGCCAGAATTGGTACCTGGAGTTCGGCGACGATGTCTGAAAATAACGACGCAAAGTTATCGTCTGCGTGGAAAAGTTGATTCGCCATGCATGCTTCCCCATTTTTGACCCCCTGATAGAATGATTTCTGGGATAAAAACTATCCTATGTCTGTTCCGGGACTCAAACTATTTCTATAAAAATTCATCTGAATCTGAACACGGAAACCAATTGATGTAAGCGTTATCTATCGCAAGATAACATCTTTTAACCTCTGCCAACATTTGTGTTCCGTTTTTACACAAAATCAAAATAATCTGTATATGTAAAGGATAAAAGGTTAATAGGCTGATGATGATGATGATGAAAGGATAAAAGTATCTGTTAATATTAATATTTTCTAAACAAGAAAAACTACTAACTTTAAATCTCTCGAAAGCTCCTGTTTGCTTCCTCTCAGCTCCGTAGAACTGCCTCTCTCCTCAGTTCGCCGCCTCAGATCAGCCTTACTACCCTTCAGAGTTTTAGAGCTGCTGTGACTCCGCGATCGGTCGTAAGGACTTATAGGGGGTTTCCCGACGCGTCTGTCCATTTGACTCTCGGTTTCCGAGTTGCTGATTTCAGATATATTCCTCAGATTCCTCTTGTAGTACTGCTTCGTTCTTGGGGATTCGTTCTTCTCTTCTCTGAGATTCGTTAACGAGTAACTCTTTCCTGAAAGCTCGCTGTGATCTACCTCGTCTATGCCCGTGCTGGAGTTTGAGATGGTTTTTCTCAAAGTGTTGTGAGGTTTAGGTGTGCTTCTGGTTTTGGTGACGGTTTGCTTGACGTTAGTATCTGACTCGAGGTCTGTGTCACCGAAGAATCTTAGGTTTTTCGCTGGAGAATTCAGAGGCTTGGCAGTCTTAGCCCACGCCTTACGAGGCTCCTCTTCTGGGGTTGTGGCGCTCTCTTTCTCCTGAAATAAAGATGAAGATTACAATGAAACATTGCATGCCCGTTGACGGCACACTGTTGTGACTTTGTATATCATTGCAATTCCAACTGCAAAATTGTACACAGTTTTTAAGCAATAAAAGTTATTTCTGTTTCCAAGAACTTTTTGTGGCAAAGTTTTTAAATTTTACTGAACCGACGTCAAAAAGGTTTTCCATTCGGCAGTACCTTTTTTTTATTGCTATTCGCATGTAACTCGGGTGATTTAAGTGTGTCGTTTCTGCTCATTTGTTATGCAGAAATGACGATTGGGTTCCGCTTAATGGGAAATATTTTAGGTTGATTAGAAAAGATACGCAATTTGCTTCCAATATATTTCAAATTCCATTTGTTCGGCCCTAGCTTCAACTTCTCTCTATTTTGATAATGGAAGCTTTACCTTCTTTAAGTGTATCTGTGTTAGTTTTGATACGCAATCTCGGGATATCCTTGGTAATTAGACCTTTCTCTTTCTTTTTGTTTACGTTACCTTGATGCTTTTCCCTTTCTTCTTAGCTGTCAGTCTGTCCAAAGACTTGAACCAGTTGGACGTGGTGGCCTGCCTGCGGGGCGGCGAGGGGGTGGGGCTGGGGGTCGCCAGTCGCCGTCTCCCTCTATAGCGCTCTGCCTGAAAAGGACAACATACATTTATGATAAATCAAATGATGCAAGAGAAGATGAACACGTAAATTAACCATTCCCTCTTAGGATGTAAGGATTTGTTTTTTCTAAAACAAATGGAAAATTTCTATTTTCCAGAATACATCGGTGAAAATCCCAAATTTGTACCGATGCCTCGCTAAGCCCTATCGTTGGTGTTAAAACGGCCTCAAGCAATGACTGATAAATACTATAAATAATATACTCTAAGTAAGTGTATTATGATATTAATGATGTTTTTAGAATCCTGAAAAATTATAATCTTATAGACGATGTTTAAAGTTCATCACACAAACAGTAAAAAAAAACGTGGTTGCTTCTGCTGCGGTATTAGGTAGTATAATTTTTATAAGTTGCCCAATATAACATCATAACATGAGAGCTCTGTATCATAATCTGCGCGTACGTTGACACCGAGATCATAAATCATAGTCTTTAGGAATCCCGTGTCAGTCCAAAAACTCTTTGAAAAAGTAGCGTTTCATTTGTGATAGCACTTTTATTATTAAATGTTACCAATTAATTGGAGCCTTTGAGAGTATTTTGTATGGTGGGCTTTATATATATGTATGTGGGCATAGCGGATTTTCGCTCGAATTGGAGCTCACGTCTCGGGAAGTAACCTTCACATTGCAGAAAACTACCAAAAATAACACTACCTTTTGGTGGTGTTTTATTTTGTCTATGAGTAGTAAGGTTCAGGGCTTCACAGGCTTGGGGATTGGTTCAGGGTAGGCAACGGTGCGAGCGATATTTTTGGTACCGCAAGCCGTTTAACATAAATAAGTATGAGCTAGTATCTATAGGACCTATTATACAAGATCAAAGTCTGTCAGGGTTGAGGGCGGGTATATATGGGTATTTGCAACGACTACACATATACCTATTTCATAATCATATTCATTCATTAACTTCGCCAATTTCAATGCATCCTCTTTTCAAAGGTATGATAAGTTTAGGAGGTATTGTGTGCGGAACCAACGCCGCGAAATCATTATGTGCTGAAAGCGTACTTTTATTTTTTGTCTCCTCCACTCTGTATATACTTATATTATATTATTTTAATGATGTATTCTCGTTTTCTTTTCGGTGTACAATTACACGGGAGAGAAAAAACCTACGCTTGATTGAGCGCCGAGCGAGACTCGCAAAAAAGTTACTGATGCCAGTTTGTTGACGTATGAGATATTTTGACAATGTTTTTATTTTAAAAAGCTAAGCCTCATATTTATTTATTCATCATGATTATATTGGTAAAGGCAAACTTCGTACCCTTTTTTTCACCGAGATCTTGAGCCCAGGCGAGTGTGTCATCATTACAAGCATATTAATATCCCCACTCCACTGTTAGGATACGGCTTCCCTATTTATGGAATAGGGAGAAAGGGTTATGAACTTATGACCCACCACGTGGGCCCAGTGGATTGGTAGGTGCTAACGTCTGCAGACGCGGCCAGGATCACTGCTTGAGCTCGAGATAGTAAGTTTTTGGTTACTAATCAAATGACCAGCCATTGCGAAAGTTGCTTTACTTCCAGAATACACTAACCTTCACAGTTTATATGCTAATACAATCAACACATCATCATTTTTATAACCTAGAGATATGGATCACCACAAAATTCAATAAATTCAAAATTAAATATTTATTCAGTCTAGGCTGTTACATGCACTTGTGAATGTCGAAAAGCTACGCCTTCGGTTCCCAAATCTACGGCGGGAGACACTGTACTGAGAAGAACCGACAAGAAACTCAGCAAGGGCTGTTTTTTTCTCCCTGTATTATAAACAAAGTCGTCAAATTGAAAAATGATTTCAATATTAGATAACTCATGAAGTCACTTTCCATTACAAATGTAAATGATATAAAAATTATGTTAAAACATTCAAAAAATAAAACTGATTTAACAAAGAAATGCCGTGTCCTACTGTTTAGGCATAAAAATGCACGACTAAAGTTATATACCATGATTAATAGTATCTAATCAAATAAGTCTTACTACAAACTTAAGCAACTTAAGAAATAGAGCTATTTACCTATCTAGAGTCTAGACCAAAGATGTCACCATTCCATTTATAGTCAACACTAAAAATGTTTGATTCATAGAACTATAAACTTTTTTCGGTGGCGTTAAAGTATATTGTCCAAAAAAACGTGAAAGGCCAAGGACCTTATTAGCCTTTTTTAGAATTCTGCCACGAGATTACACAAAACCAACATCCTTGTGGGGTCAACGGCTGATTTTGATACATTGGCGGCTATTCCAAGGATTTTGTCCGTATAGCTTATACAAATATACATTCCGTTACTCCTATGCGGTTTTAGAGAGCAGAATTTGCTGTTTCTTTTTACTGAATGTTATTTATAGAGTTGATCTGCCCATCGGCAAAGGAAAAGCTAAGGGTTAGTAGGTTTGTGAATTGGAAACTTGGAATTATTAGATATTGTGTGTCCACCCCTTAATAAGGATGTATGTCTTATTCCTTTGACATTTGTCTATAGTCTATTAAAAAAGGTTACTGTCACTTCATCTTCGCCCTCTCTTGTAAAAATGGTCGGTACCTACGTTCATCGTTGTGCCTTTTTGTTATAAATTAAATCTAAGTGCATCTTTTCATAAACCAAATGTGTATTAGTCCAATATTGTTGTATCTAATAAAACGACCAATACGCCGAGTTCCACGCTTTTATTTACGCCGAAATATGATTCGGAAAAGTGCTTCCACCTTAAAATTATCAGAGGAATGCATGCTACCTGTTACGAAGTTTGATAGTGGTGAGAAACTACCTATGTTGGTTTGAGCCATCTAATGTATATGTATGCCGTAGGATGATTTGATAAATCGAATTAGACAATGGCGATGACATTTCTCAATCTTACTGAATTTTTTTTTGCGTAAATGCGATTGAAAGATTAATTGCGATTCTTAGTACGATTGCCAAAACAATTGTTTGGTTAATTATATTATAAATATTCTTGGATTTAAGGTTCACACTAGAATAGGTTAGGTTAGTCTTGTGACCATGAAGCGCCAGAAATAACGAGTAACTTATTTAAGCTTATACTTCGTTTATTAGAGGGTAAAATATTTAGTTTATAGTTAGTACGAAATATATAAATTTATTTATAATTTTATTTCTCAGGTAAAATACCTACTTCCGCACACTATTCAATCAATAAAACTATATATAATCGCGTCATTATTCATGATAATGAGGAGACGAATGATATTCTTGTGACCACGGAAATTGAAAAAGGTTAACACGATTAACTTTCAACTTAACTAATGGTAGTCACGAGCTCATTATAAATAAACAAGCTAGAAATAAAGAGGAATATAGAACTGCTAAATTCGCCGGGAAAACAAAAAAACCCCTTTTCAAATAATTTATCAACATATTTAAAAATGAACCCCTATTTCCTTTGGTCACGCCATAACTTGAGAAAGACTCTGTCGACTTCATTCATATTTCTTATAAAGTAATCTAAGAATTTAAAGCAGGTACTAACGAAAAAAAAATATTAAAAGATGCGCAGAAAATGTCAGAAAACTTAGGCTGGCCAAAGTAGTAGGACAAGTAGGCCTACACGCTAATTGCTTTTGACAGATGAAAGTTATAATCAACGGACTTTATTACAAAGCCACTAAGATACTTGTTCTGGAAAACATCGATGGATATGCAATTTTCTCTTTAGTTACACACTGTAAATGTCAAATAAGTTAGCGAATAGGCTAGCAGGCTGTACTACTGTTTTTGAACCGTCCAAATATAATACGTATTTATCAAACACGTTCTTATAGCGATATAAGATGACCAACTTAATAAAAAGATGAACAAAATCTCAGTCTTGTAACTTGTAACCACGGAGCTTTGTAGGTAAATGATACGAAATGAAGAATTCTGTAAAACAACAATCTATTAAACGTGCTATATTTGATCTGTAAAACTCTTGCAAATATAGCGCGTTTAATATTAATAATTAAAAAGGTTAAGTCTGTTATCTGTTAAGTTTTGTTTTCTTAGACATGAGCACGTATATATATTTTTTTATATAGAGGTAGGCAAATGATAGAGTCATCCTGATGTTAAGTGGTAATATAGTCCAAACGCGAAGATAGCTGGTACAGCAGTTATAAACTACTACACCAATCATCCTCACCTTGCCGGCCTGCAAATGTGGTCTTATTTACACTGCTTAAAGTACTGTACACGAATAATGTTTAATTAAGATTGTTTCATCAAACTTCCACTCTTTCCTACTCAAACTTAAATATCTTCACCGTTTAATTTGATGGTGTTTATCAGAAGTTCAATGTCGTAGGTACAATTGCGTACCTACATATTACAATCATCATGAAGTCACCGGCACCCCAAAAATAGCAAGCACGAAGATGCAAGGCCGACGAGAGTGCCATATGGCCTGCGACCTTAATTAAATCACAACCTCGGGTATGCGCGGGCGCCGCCGGCACGCTTTTCGCGGAACCATGATTTTTCTGAAGTTTTATAAATTTCAAGATATTAAAGTTCAAGATTGTGTAGGAGGAATTAAAAATTTGTTATTTATGCAACTGTTGTATATAATGAGGGGTTTAATAACACGAATGTGGATTTATCATACGAGGCGCAGCCGAATTTAATACCTAATTAAAAACAGTTGTATACAAGATTTTATCAACATCCATGATAAGAATCTTATAAAAACGAAACCATGGGTAGCGTTCTAAGAACTTAAGATTCATGAAACTCTTCGGCTTTCTGGTAATGAAACGCGCGTAAAATTGTGGCTGTTTGATGAGTAAACCCCAAACCCCAATGGTATCATTACAAAATTCCCCAAAAAAGGTAAGTATGTGTCAGGTAAGTACCTACTGACATCACTTTCATAATGTCAAGATGGAGTAGTAAATGTTTTAACTAATATGATGTTATAGTTCCATTTTTTCAAGGTGTAATAGTGTAAT